CCTCGGTTCCCAACCGCGCCACCTGAAGTCCAATCACCTCTCGCCCCCCTCCCAATCCCAGCACCTAGCCAATAGCCACCAGCCCCGTAGAAGTAACACCACAATCACCCCATGCCCCTTCCTATATAACCCAGCACCTTTCTCTAATAAAGCGGATTTCTCCGGTGAATTGCAGCTGTGTGTAGCTCCTTTCCTTTCAAATTACCTCGGCATAGGAGGGTTTATCTGTACTGAAAGGTGAGGGGGAAGGGCTGGTTTTGTTTGTGCTGGGGCAGGAAAGAGAGAAGGCCCTGCCTGGACTGCAGTTTGTAAGCAATAAACGGATTTTAAACTTTACTTCTCCCTTTGACTGATTTCGGTTTTTAGAGGTTTTGCCCAGGGATTTCCTCTCCCCGGACTTACAGGCAGGAATCATCATGTCCCAACAGGGAAAAAATGTAGTTTGCATCGGTACAAGAAATTGACTACCTCTGCAACGGGGCCATCACCAGGAACATTTGCTTTTCTTCAATACATTTTGTTCATAAAAACCCTTCCAACTTCCTTCTTCTCCATAAAATAACATTCTTCTCCTTTTTCTCTGGACTTGCCTACGGTTTTGCTGTGGCTTGCATGCCCTGAATTGAATTCTCTGCTATTCACCAGTAAACCCATTTTTGCTGGTAAAATAACTAACTGATGTATTTTTAAGATTAACAATGCCATATACACCTAATTTTACCTTTGTTTTGGAACCTCTCACATGGATGGGGTTGCCACAGTAGGAAATTAAATTTGGTTCTCTCCTGCTAATCTGTGTTCCATTAATTTAATTCTTAGACCTGTGAGAGAAGAACCTTGAAGGGCAGAGGAAAAATGTTTCTTCCACAATACTAGCAAATTAACTGTTTTACTTTTAAGATTAAGAGGCGACAATGAAATGATATAGCAAAGACTTAATAAAGACTGATTAGCAGCTATTAAAACACATGTTTTTACACTGCATGTTTTTGAATTCTGCTTCATAAAGCCACTGAAAACGGGCGTTTCAAGTATAGGATTTCCAAGTATTTTTATAAAACAAATTAAAAAACCAAAAACATCTTTGCTCGCAACAAATTTATGCACAAAAATGTAAAACACAATACAACTGAACTTCTGCAAACCCATGTGTTTCCTGTAGGTTACTGAGGCCCGCCCCGCGGGCCTCGGAACCGCCCTCCCGATCCTGAGGCCCGGCCGCCACGCGCCGCGGGCCGCCTCTCAGGCCTGAGACCTACCCCCGCCGACTCGCCGCCCCCACGCCACTCCACGAGCTCAGCGGCCGAACCCAGACTCAGTCCCGGAGCTGGGTGCGCACTCGCTGGAGACTATCCCGCCGGGCAGTGCGCTAGCCAGCCCGCACCCAGGAGGGGTCCTTCAGGCCTTCGGCCAGGTAACTCTCTTCGGGGTCCTTACGCGGTTGCGTAGCAGCCCTGAGGACGCGGGCTAAGGCGGAAGAGGAGTGCCGGCTGAGTAAGCCCGACTTGGCCCTGGGGTACCGAGCGGGACGGGGTCCGATAGGGGCGCGGGGCTGGAGAGCGACTGGCCACCGGAAGGCCGACCTGCGGCGCCCCGGGTCTCTCCGGTCCTGGCCTGGACCCGCCCGAGAGAAAGAAGCCGCCCGGGCAGCAGTCTCAGCGTGTGGGAAGGAGGGCCTGGTCGGGGGAGAAAAGGGACGGTGGGTTCGCGCGGTGCAGGGGCGAGGGCAGACCAACGTGATGGGGGAGGGTGGTTTCCAGACCTAATGTGCCCCTAAAATATTGACTGAATGAAAGAGAGCTTGCCCACTAGGTCAGCAAGGACAGCGACAACCTTGGAGCGGTACGACTGGGTTTGGCTTTCCAACTCCTGGCTCCGGCTATAGAGGGGAAGTGATGCTACCCAAGCATATGCCACTTCCCAGGCTCTGCTCTTGAGGCTGAGGGTACCTCGGTGAACAAGGCTGAGTTCTTACCTGAGCAATAGAACTGCCATGGCACAGACAGGGAAACTGAAGGGTCCTCTTATTTTCCATCCCCAACCCGTGTGCACCTCTGTCATACTTTTTGCCACAGTAGACTCTGCCATCACTGTGTCTCCTACTCTCTTTTCCTGGAGCAAGGTCTGCTCGTGGTGAATGCTCAGGAAGCGTGAGTGCTGCTTCTGTGTTATCATAGCATTTCTGTAAGCTTGGCGTCTGGACTATGGCACATTCTCAGTACTGTTTGCAAAGTTGTATTTGGGCATGAGGAGAGTGGAACAGAGCCAGAAATGATGTTACACCTAAGTGTTGGAACTGGGTGGCTGGCAGTATCTCCACAGACAGGAAATGTGAGGATCAATGTTTGGGGTGGGCAGGACTTAAGAAACTGTTTTCACATGTTTATGCCTGTGTGGGATAGTATACTAGTCCAAATATCATAGGCAATTGCATATCTGTGTCTGGCACTGAGGGACGTGGTCTCCATGAAAGTACAGATTTGGCATCAGCAGCGTATAGGAGGTACTTGAAATTCGTAGAGGTTTAATTAAAAAAAAAAAAACTCGAGAAGAGGGTCTGGGGAATGCCTGAACTGAGAGAGGAAAAGGCAGCTACTGATAGGATGAAAACTGAAGGGGAGGTGAGAGACATGAGGCAGAGGATCGGGAATGTAGATTAGGTGTCCGACTGTGTGGTCTGTTGTTCAGTGATGGGAACTCAGGCTTACATAGCACTCTTTGCCAGACAATGTCTCATCGATCATGTGACATGGGCACTGTTTTTTGACCTTTAGACTCGTTACAAGTGAGAAAATTTTTGTATGTAAAGCTTCAACAAAACTTAGAATACTGTCTGTCCAGGTGGGAGTAGGCAGTGTGGCCCTGAGCATAGCTGTAGTAAGGTGATGACATTGGGTGACGCACCTTAAGAGGATTTTGGTGGGGACAAGATTACAACCCTGTGGTTCAGCAAGTGGTGGCGAGGTTGATGGTGAATAGAAAAGGATGTAAGTGTCCTTGGGCCCCTCTTTGATCAGCTCATTGTCCCCTGTCCAAGGAGAGGAAGAAGTAGATTGAGTTGAGGGGACTTCTCATTGCTTTTAAACTTTCTGTTCTTGATCTTCCAGATAGTGACAAGAACATCCCTTTGGTTGAGCCCCTGTCTACAGCCAGGAGCCAATGGCCAGGAACGGGGCCAAACCCTGTGAGCTGGACCAGGAGAAATATGATGCTGATGACAATGTGAAGATCATCTGCCTGGGGGACAGTGCTGTGGGCAAGTCCAAGTATGTTGCATATTAGGGAAGGAGGGCCAGGCCCAGAGCATGTCAGGGTTAGTAGAAAAAAAAAACCCGACCTGGAGGCACAGAGGAGCATAGTTTCTACGGGAGTGGTAACAGAGTAGATGTGCCTGGATCCCAGGTGTGCATGGGGGAACAAAGGGGATCATAGCAGCAGCTGTGTGTATTGGGTGGGGTCAGGGACAGTCATCAGGCCTGAGGAGGCAGAGCCTTTTCCATGAGTCCTGGCAGAAGGTGTGGGCCAGTTCACCCAGGAGAAGGAATCCAGGGTGAGGAGGTGGGAACTGTAGTATTCCTGTATGTGGTTTGTGGGCTGAGAGGTTGCAAGGTGGAGACAGTATGAATGGAGAGAGGAAAGTGCGAGAGGTGTGACCAGTAAAACCAGTGACAGGCTGATTAAAGGTGGTAAAGGTTCTTGAAGGACCTCAGTGAGATTGAGAGGAGTGGATAAAATTGGCAACTGACTGTAATCAGTACAAACGATTGGCTTATTCTTTTAATTGACTTCAGTGCCTCTGTGCACTCATGGGGAACTCCCTACCAGGAAGGTTGCCGGGCTTTGCAGCACTGACAGCTTGTCTCCAAGAGGTGTTTCCCACCTGTCTTGAACTGTTCAGAGCACACACCCATTCTGCAGTCACAGGATGAGGGTGACTTGCCCCTCACAAGATGCCTGGTTTAGTCACATCTCCCAGGTGCTCCAGATTCATCTGTTTTCCACCATCACCTTTTATTAACATATTCTTGGATTCAAGTACCTGTGAGTAATTCTCTGTGGGCTCTGCTAGTTTTAGGCCATCTTCATGAATTCACTTTCACTCTCTGCTCCACCCACTACACACATGTTGCATTTCTAGTTCAGTGTTTTACAGTTACTAGGACCATCCTCAACAACATGCCTATACAATAAAAGTGAGGGTGTGTAGTAGTTTGAGGAGAATATGCATTAAATAACACCCCTTTTTCCCACCAAATTTTAGAAGCAACAGAGAATAGGAATGGCAGGCAGGTAGAACAAATTGTCAGGTTAATAACTGATAGAGATGTTGGAAAACAGCTTGGTATGAGACCCAAGGTGGCTTGCCCACTAACTTGGCCCCATTCCTGGCATGCCTGTGGAAAGGGCTATGTAACCCCCAAGTTCAAACCAGCAGTCTCTTGTAAGCTTCCCTGAAAACAGCAATGGATCTAAGCCATTAACAGGACAGCAGAGATTACCACAGCATTGGCCTCTATAGCCACAACATTTAGAAAACAAGCCAGTCCCCAGCATCCAACAGTATTGTCTTGCCAATGGGTTTCAGCCCTGGGCAAGTTTACTATGGATTCAGTGTGACCAAAGAAATGACTGTAGAACGTTGTTGGGGTGAAAGGGTTGAACCCAGCTTTATTTCCACGATGGCAGGTCAATCACTAAAATCTTGTTCACTCAAAGCGAGTTTGCATGCAGCAAGCCTGTCTCTGCCTCTGGGCCTCTCGACTGCACAGCTGTCCTCTAGGCCTCTGTCCTTGGCATTGCCACCACTCCAGCCTCTGCTCTGCTCTCCTGCCATTGCCACCCAGAGCACAGGGCAGAGCTTTTTATATAGAGTCAATAGCAATGTATTGCCCACACATGTGTAGTGAGCTAGCCAACCAGGGCCAGTCTTCAGTGTCTCCAATTTGTGAATTTAAATTTAGCTGGGAGAAAGTTATCAAGAGCGTAATTAACACTATTCACCGTATCTGGAGCATTTCTATTTGTGCACAGCCTCAGCGCTACATAGTGCTTTCGAGGTGACATTGTAGTTTAGAAACTTAAGAGTAGCAGCAGCCACAGTCACCAGGTCTTCTTTGAGGTGCCGTTCTGTCCACGCAGCACGTCCATGCGTCTTCGTCCCGTTTCCTCCTTGGGCCTGTGTTTCTGCCTCCCTGAAGCCCCGCTGGCCGTGGGCTGATGATGTGGCTCCTCTACTGCTTGTGAGCAGGTATTCTCGGACCTGGGCACTGACTCCTGGAGTGTGCTCTTCCTGCATTCCTGCACGTGCTAGCTTCTGGAGCTGGACACAGAGAGATGTTCTCTGCCAACAACGTTTGACCCGGCCAGCTCATGATGTGACTGCTCTGCCTGGATCCCCTTTAATGGACATTCACTCAGGAAGTGCTGAGTACTAACAGGGTCAGACCCTGTTTTAGGTGATAGATAAGAGCCTCTCCCTGTGTTCTCACTTACACCGATGCCTAAAGACTTGCCAGTACTCCATGTATTTTCTTCATATTTTCTATTCCACTGGGTATTGCTGGCCCAGTTCTGAGAGGTACCTGTACTCTTAATGTAGCTTCTTTCTCTGCAACTCAGGAAGCTGTATCCTTCTTGGGGAGTTGTTCTCAGCTCTCCCAGGCCTTGCCTTTCTTTTTAGAGATTTCTTTGGACTCCAGGTGTTCTTTCTGCTTAATAACATGACATGCTCTATTCCGATTCCCTCTTTAATAGTTAGGTCAAGACGCACTGCCTTGTTTATTTGATAGCTATCTAACTTGGCCTTTAGGGTCTCATTTTCCCCTTAATCACTGTCCATCATTGTGCAAAAGTGCACGCCCCACTAAGGCCTCATGGTGTAAGTACAAACTAGAGTTGATGGGGAAATTCATAAGCAGTAGATGCACAGTGTTCCCCATGTCCCAAGCTTGTGTGACCCCTAAGCTCCAGGAGTAGGTGGGCTGCATGCCTGTGGAAAGGGCCTCAGGAGAGGAATCTAACACCTCTAATGCTCTCGATATTTTTGGGAAAGGAGGCCAGGGACCATGTATGTGACTGTGTAGCAGTGGGAACTTCCTGGGGTCCCCAGTGGGTACACCTGCTCTGCTTTTGAACTCAGGCCTGCCAAGCTGGCTGGCTGCTAAGTTGCAGAAAGTTGAGAGGAAGTGAACCGCCACAGCTCATTGTCTCTCCTCAATCCTGCCTTCCAGAGGTCAAGCGTTCCTTAAGAAAACCCCTCTTTGCCTTAGTTTTTATTCTTTCACTGCTCCTGCTCCGATGAGACAAGTTTCTTGGCCTCTGCTCTTCCTCCTCCACTCCTGAGCATGTGTTCTCTCATAACTGTTCCAAGCACAGGTCTTTTTCATCACCCTCCTAACCTCTGGCTGCAGCAATTTCATTGTGTGACTTTTCTACTTCCACCCAAGAAGGTGGTGTATTTTCTTTATAATACAGATGCTGTATCTTTTCAATTCTTAGTGAAATCCACCATCCTTTCTTAGTGGAATCTGAAGTTTAAATCTCAGAAGTATAAAGTCATTGCTAGATTATATCAAATTGACAGATAAGGAGTGATCCTCACAGGTGCAATGTAAGTGAGTGGTTAGGCAGGTGCATTTGTAAAAGTGACATTTGAGCAAAAACTTGAAGAAGCCAAGGGGACAAGCTATGCAGATATCTTGGGGAGGAGCATTTCAACAAGAGGAAATGGATAGTGACGGGAACAGAGGGAGCAACAGAAAGAATGGGAGAGAAGAGAGGAAATGGGAGAGTCAGTGGCAGGGCTGGAAATCTGAGGAGGCTTTAATCTCAAAGAAATGTACAGCCATCGGGTGGTTTGACCAGAGGAGGGACTGCATTTGATTAATTTTTTAACTGGATGACTGATCCCATTCAGAATAGAAGACTTCTTAATAATCAATAGATCAAGTAGGGAAAAAGTAGTAAGGTAATGACACATTTGAACAACACAATTATTGAGGTTGATTATTCATATAGAGAGAGAGAAAGCTGACACTGAAGAGTTTCCATAGTTAATTTTAATTTTGCATTTCACTGAGACTATCCTGAACACCTCTTTGCTTCTTGGTGCTTGGCCACTTGGAGTTCCTCTTTTGGGAAGTGCCTGTTTAGGCCAGTTACCCATTTATTTGGATGGTTTATCTTTTTATTATTGACTCATAGCAACATCTTCATACATTCTGGACCTTTTTCTAGTCCGTGGCTTTTCACTCCCATGGTATATTTTGATGAACAGAAGCATTTAATTTTAATAAATTAATCTTTAAAAGTTTTTTTCAATTTTCTTCAACCTTCACTGAGATATAATTGATATTTAACACTGTTAAGGTACACAGCATGACGATTTGAGGTACATACATACTGCAAAATAATTACCACAATAAGGTTAGTTGACACATCCATTGCTTCACATAGTTACCATTTTTTGGTGTGTGGTAAGAACATGTACAGTTTACTCAGCAACTTTCATGTGTATATATAGTGCAGTATTGTTAACTTGTAGATACCATGCCATACATTATATCTTATAACCGGAAGACGACCAACATCTCCCCATTTCTCTCTGCAATAGAATATTACTCAGCCATAAAAAGCAATGTGATCTTGCCATTTGCAATAGCATGGGTGGGGGGCATTATGCTAAGTGAAATTAGTCAGACATAGAAAGACAAATACTGTATAATGTCACTTATACATGGAATCTAAAATAAATAAATAAGCAAAGTTCATAGATACAGAGAATGGAGTGGTGGTTGTCAGAGGCAGACAGTAGGGGGGTGGGTCAAATGGGTGAAGGGAGTTCAAAAATAGGGTTGGTAATTAAGTCATGGTGGATATAATATACAGCATGGCAACTATAGTTAATAATACTGTATTGTATATTTGAAACTTGCTAAGAGAGTAAATCTAAGGTTCTCTTCACAAGAAAAAAATTTCTGTAACTATGTATGATAATGGATGTTAACTAGACTTACTGTGGTGATCATTTTACAGTTAAAAAAAAGGTCTTTCATCCTTTCTGAGTTAAATTTTTGTGATTGGTATGAGATAGAAATCCAGTTCTATTCCTTTCCATTTTTCCTAGCACCGTTTTTTGAAGAGAAAGTCCTTTCCCAACTGTGTATTCTTGGCTCCCTTGACAAATGTTTTTAACCATATATGTGTGGGCTTATTTCCAGCTGCTCTGTTCTTTTCCATTGGTCTCTGTGTCTGTTTTTATGGCAGT